AAGGCAGAAAAGGGAGGGGGGCCAGGAGATGCACGGAGCCAGTAGATAACCAGCAGATGTGATTTTTGCAGATAAGCGTAGTAATTTAGATAAATCTGGAGGCTTTAGAGCCTTTCGCTTGCGTTCCTTTTCTTTCTGTCTGATTTTTTTTTTCAATTTTATCTCGCAAGTCAAGAGGAGGGGGGAGCAGGGAGGGGGGGAGCGTAATCTTTGGGTACTTTTTCTTTTCTTTTTAATGTGTTTTTCCCCAGAAGGTGGGATGAGGCCGCTCTCCCCCCATGCACATGCACACACACAAACGCACACAAGAAGATGGGGCTCTGTTTTTTAAAAGCGGCGGACAAAAATCAAAATATTTGAAAATGTATTTCATGGTAATTATGTCATATTTCATGGACTGATGCCACTACTGAAAGAGAGCCTGAATGCCTTAATTTGTATAGAAATTGTAATCATTTGTTCATTTCAAGGTGAAAATTGCATTTTTTAATTTAAATTGTATCCTGCGTGATAGTCTATTATCTAGTAAAATTGTCTCCATGTCTGAATGCCTTATATGCAGCTGCAATGCTTGTTACAAATCCCGTTATATTCATAAAAGCTTTGTCGACGTCTCGGGAAATGCGAACAGTTTCTTGTGGGTTTCTTCTCTCTGTTGTGTTTTTTTGGTTTTTTTTGCCTTTTTTTTCCCCTTTTCCCTCCCATTCTCATCCTCCCTCCTCCCCTTCCTCTTTTTTTTTTTTTTTTTCTTTTCTTTTTTTCCCATATCTACTATTAATAACAATTAGCCTGGCTGCACACAAAAGGCAATTCTGCGCAGAAAGATTTCCGCGTCGCTATTTATTTCGGAGCACGGCACCTCCAGGTTGTGTGTTGGTAGGGAATAGGGGGCAATGGAAGAGAAAAAGATGGAAAAACCCAATGTGTTCTGCCCCGGGGATGGGAATTCTGCACTAAAGTCACCGTGGGGAGGAGAGGATGGGACGAGTGCCCCATTGATGCTCAGCATTAGGAAACTGAGCGCCGCTCGCTGTAGGAATGCAGGATGAGCCACTGGGTTACTATAAATCAGCCAAACCTGTTAAAATTCTGGGCTGGTTTGTGCCGGGTGAGAACGTAGCCCGCCCAGGATGGGATATTAATTATATTAATCCTTCAAAAAGAAAGAAATGGGCCTCCCAAGGAAATCCTTTTTCAGTCATTTAATTCCTTTTCATACACCTCTCCCTGCTCGGAATACCCTGATTTTATGCAGGTCCACAGCCCATTATAATAAACTTCTCTACACCTATTCTGCAAAGAAATTGCTCGTGGAATGCTGCGAGGCTGAAGGCTGCTGACAGCACAGCCACTCTCTGACTGTAGCACCCGAACGTGTCAACCAATGTGGGCTCATGTAAGTCACTTAACCTTCACCTCTCCGTTCCTAAAACCATCATCTCTGAAACCATTGTGTTACAGTGGGGCTGGGATGGGTAACGTGAAGGAGAGGAGGAGAAATCAGAGCTGGTGAAAGCAGTTTTTTTTCCAAAATGTTTTGGTTTTATCATCAGGATTTTTTTTTCCAAATTGTCTTTTATTAATAAGTCTCGAGTAATGAGGAATGAGCATAAATCTCAGTTTCTTTAGTTCTGGTTTAAAATTTCAGACTAGAAAGGTAAAAATGTTCACCTTCCAGTTTCTCTTCTCATATTTTTGAAGTGAAAGCAAAACGGGAAAGTGGAAACAATCTCAATACAAAAAAAAGATTTTGACCCTTTCCTCCTATTTCATTTTGGAAAAACGCATCTGAGAATGTCTGAGAAGATGATGTAAATAAGGTTCAAGTTGTCTGGTTTTTTTCAATAATTCAAAGGAAAAGTGCTAATTAATGCCCTTCCAAATGTGTTAGGGCTGCATCCCCATGTCCTTTCCCCAGCTGCTGAATGGCAATGGCACGAAGCTGGAGAACAGAACGTGTGCCTGTGTGTGTTCAGTGCTGTCACACGGGGATCCATGAGGCCATGGCACAGGGATCCGTGGCCATAACACAGGGATATCCATGAAGCCATGACATGGAGACCAATGGCCACGACGCATGAATCTATGAGACCATGACGTAGGGACCCTTGAGGCCATGACATGGAGACACTGGGGATCCATGAGACCAGGACACTGGAGACCCATGAGACCATAGGGACCCTTGAGGCCAAGACATGGGGACCCAGAGGCACAAAGTTCCATAAGACCATGACACAGAAACACATGGCCATGACATTGGGGGCCCATGATGCCATGATGTGGGGATCCATGAGGCCATGACATAGGGACCTTGGGCACCCCGTGCTTGCAGCATAGTCAGTCCCCTGTCCCCAGCCTACAGATGCAGTGTGTTGGCAGAAGTTAGCAGCTGGTGTCAAATGGTCTTGACTCTGATTTATCACTGGTTTATCAGCAGATTAAAGCTGACAACAGCTTAGGGCCATAATTGAGCAGTGATCCTTGTTGCAGGAGCTGCGTCGGCCCGGAGCAGCTCCCTTGTGGGCTCACTGGTGCCCTTGATATCATCCACAGGGCGACATTCGGGCTCTGGTGAGGTGTGGGAGATGTCCTGTGCTGCTCAGATAAGGCTCGAGCTGCCAGAAAAAGAGGACAAGGAGCTCTGGGAACGGTTGAGGGCAGTGTTGAAACACAACGGCGCTGTCTGGATGCGGCCAGCGCAGGAACAAGATTGTTTCAGGGAAGGCAAAGAGCTTCCAGCAGCAGAGCGGGATGGAAAATAGGGCTGTAGCTATAGAAATAATGCTGCCCTGTTTTAGGGCTCCTAGGAAGTGATGGGAGAAGCTATATGAGAGCACCTCAGGGCAGATCCCATGTCCGGGTGCTCCCAGTGCTGGCAGAGCCCCCGCAGCCCCCACCTCCTCCCTGCCCCTCTATGGAACGATCCCTCTGCTGAAAGGCAATGAGAAAATAAATAAATTTTAAAAACCCACCAAAAACCAGAGACTAATTACCCTGCTTTCTGCACGCGGATATTGGTCCAGCACCACTTGGACGGGGATCAACTTATTTTACGGGGAACCAAAACATCTTCAGATGGGACTGGCTTTGTTTAAAGGCGAAATGCCTTATTACCCACTGCCGAAGCCCCGAGCCATGCCTTGCTCTGCAGAGTTTCAAAATATTGTTCCGCTTGTTGCTGCTGTGCTTTGCCCTCTAACGAGAGCCAGGTGCCTGCGGAGTCAGAGCAGCGGTGCAGTCCCATCCTGCCTCCCTCTGCCCCACCATCACTCGCTGGAAATGAATGCATAAAGACATGGGTGCGTTTGGAACAGGCCAGGTGATTGCCCTTCCCTTGGGAAAAGTCGCAGGGAAATTGGACGTTTCATTTCTTCACATAGCTTTTCATTAAGGAATTGGACTCGATGATCTGTATGGGAGTTGGGCTCGATGATCCTCACGGGTCCTTTCCAACTTGGTATGAATCATAGACAGAATCGTGGAGTCCTCAAGGTTGGAAAAGATCACTGAGATCACCAAGTCCAACCACAGCCCATACCCACGATGCCCAACCATAGAACCATAGAATCACTAAGGTTGGAAAGACCACTAAGATCATCCACTCAATGACCCACCATCACCACACCCACTGAATCCTACAAATGAAGTGCACAATTTTGGTCTTTTCTTTGAGCAGAACCATCTGCAGTTTGGCTGTTGTTGGTTTACCACTTTTTCCCCTTGAGCTTGGCAGAGCGCGTAAAGCAAACAAGCCACCCGAAGACGCCTTTCATCCTTTTTTTTCATCTTTTTTTAATGTATAACAGTTATGCCTGAGTTACAGAGAGACACCTACAGGCAGCAGGTAGTTAAAGCAAATACCAGTTTCTCTTTCTACTATTACTACTCCATATAGCTGAATAAATTATGGTGCGATTATATATATACACACGCACGCACGCAGGCACACACGCACACACACTCCCAGGCAGGCACACACATGGAGCAAAATGGCTATGAGTCAAACACAGAAGCAACATATCCGCAGTTACTAGGAATAAGGAATGTCTATATAGTGCTATGTAGATATTCCCCAGGTGGGTATATGGAGGTGTTAGGGATGACGGGTTAGAAGCGTTAAATACACAAAGTCTCTGAGCGACAGGAGCCAATCTGCTGAGTTATTGGACAAGGTGAGGAAAAATGTCCATTTTGTAGTCTCAGGACGGTGCTGAGAGGTGAAGCAGGGGCGTGGGGAGGTCCAAAACCCATTGGTGGGTTGACTGTCCCCCAAGGATCTCAGTCTGCAGGCATGGAAGAAATGTCGACCTGAGAGAACGGCTCCGGAGCGTGGCCCTTTGCTCGTTGGCTTCTTGTGTGGTTGGGATCCATGGGTACCCAACAAAGTCACCATTGGGTGGAGGTCTGCTCCGTCCCTGATGGGTCCGCACGTCCCTCAAGGTCCCACCACCAGCTCTGCTCTTCCATGCTCGGTTTTCTTTCGCCTCCCTCTGTTCTGTCCCACCCTTACCCCCCTGAGTTTGTCTCTTTTCAGCAGAACTGAGGTTGGCAACCCGTAAAACAAAAGGAAAAAGAAAAAAAATAAAATAAAATACTTGGACTCTCATACATGAATGTACCCTCAGAACAAAACGAAGAAACAAACAAACAAAAAAAAAAAAGAATTCCCCAAATCAAACCCGCCCCACCCCGAAGATTCTGGAATGTATTTTGAAAACACACAATAGGCAAAATTTCTACGTTTCGCCCTCCCCACTCCCCCATTTTTTTTTTATTTTTTTTTTTAATTTTTTTTTTTAATTTTTTTTTTTTTAACTAGCACGGCACTCACTGTGTTTTTAGTATTAAAAAAAAAAAAAAAAAAAAAAAAAAAGGAAGAAGAAAAATAATAATTAAAAAAAAAAGAAACAGAAAGTCAACTTTCTATAAACATACAGCACATGACCAAATTTCCAACTAATGTACAAAGTGCGACCACGAGGGAAAGGTCAGAGAACAGCTATGGGTGCTAGCGGGGCGATTCGGATTCCCCTACAAACTCTATTTACAGCAGTGCCCGGGTGCTCACGGACTTTCAGGTGAAGGTGAATGGCAAACAGGTTCCTGCGGTGCTCCCTCTATTTAAGACTTTAATTGGTGGGGTTCTGTGCACCGCTCCGAAGGGGTGGTTGGGGAGGTGGGCTGGATGCACGGCTGGGAGATAGGATGGAGTGGGGAGAAGAAAGCTGGTAGGATTTTGCCAGTGGGAGCGATTCTCGTGACAAAGTGAAACTTTCCTTCTCGTTTTGCAGGCAGCGAGGAATGCATTTGGTCAGAAATTTCAGTGTGAAGTAGCGGGGATTGTTGGCCTCTTGTTAAAGAATAGGTTGTTTTAGCAAATGGGTGTTTCTGGCATTGACCCCTATGCTCATGTCTAACACAGACACCCTTGTTCTTGCCCTAGAACCCCCTGTTCTGACATGGCAGTCACAGAAGGTGACTTCGGAATGACATTTAAGCCAGGACTGGAGTTCAAAAGGGATTTCTCCCTTCAATCAGCTCAAGAGCAGCATCTTGTGTTGCTTACCAAGACCTCAGACTGGCACAAACAGGGCAACGCTGGGGATGGTGTGACTGGCAGAGTGGCCAAGCTGGTGTGTTGGCACGCTTTTGGGAATGTAGGCTCCATCACCCACATGCAGCAAAGCTGATCAGTGCTGTATATGGATCCGAAAGGATGCTGAGCAATGTAAGAAGCAAAATTCGGCTTTGGTCCCGACAGGTACTTGCCCACATGGCTCAGGAGAAAGCAGCTTGAAGGTTCGTGATAAATGAGGCTGGGGCAAGGCAGGGGGGAGTTCCCCAGGAAAACGTTGTTTCAGCTGCAAAAACAACGTCAGATTATTTGGAAAGAACTGAAGAAACAGCAGTGAGAGAAAAAGGGCACAGCAGAAGTGTCTGTAACAACCTGGCCCTATAAGTACGTGCTGGAGCAGAACTCATCTGAACGTGCAGCCCCATTTTCATTCAGGTGGCCCTTTCCTTGCAGCAGAACCCCATTCTGCACACTGACCCTCTGAAACAACTTTGACTCTTCCTTCTCTGCTGTTTTTGCTCTCAGTGGCCAACTTCTCTCCCATTGAAGGATGGAGGGGCCACGACAGTCCTCGCCCTTCTTGATTGCAAGGGCAAAAGCTCCACAATAGTCATCTGTATCTGATGCCCTCTCTCTGGCCAGAGTTTGCTACCACATCTTCTGCCACTATCTGATGCCCGTGTCCTTTTGGTGATAACCAGGTCAAACTTGGTCCCTATGAGGAAACGTAAATGTTGCTCGTGCCTGTGCCCACCATCTCCAGTCCTCATGCAGCAATTCACATTTACACCTTCCGAAGGTCCCAGGCTGGATGGACATCCACCCTGCCCCTGCTTAGCAGCAATCTGGCCTGCTTTGGCCCTGCTTTGGGAAGCCATCGGTGAGAACAGAAGGGTAGAGTGGGGTGGGGGACATTTGTTGTCTCTTTAATTTACTCTTGAGCTTTTTGTCTTTGTGTGTTTGTTCGTGTTTCTTGTGTTCATGTTGCTGTTTTTTGTTGGTTTTGTTGTGTGGTTTTTTTTTTTTGTTTGTTTGTTTGTTTGTTTAAAACAAGTTCTTATATTTGGTCCATAGGTCTTCTGTGGTCCCGAATTACATCATCCTTAACAATCAGCTTGGTTATTCCTTCCTATACAACATTCACCAAATTTACACCAATGGAAAGAAAAGGAAACAAAAAGAAAAGATCAATTTGGCTTTGACTATGCCAACTACCTAGATCAATGGAAGGTCCTTAAGCATGGGCAAAACGCCATGGCCAGGTAGAGGGAGGGCATGAACTTGGGGTTAATAAATGTACCCAACCTATTGTCTCTGGCCACAGAATTCAGGTCAATGAGGCCAGGCTTGCCTCTGAGCACTCTGGGAGGAGCTGGATTCTTGGAGAGCCCTCCCCATCTTTCCCGTCTCCTTCACAAGTTGATGAGAGGTGGAAGGGAGTTGGGAAGGAGTAGGGTCCGGGTATAGGCAGATCCCTGGAAGGCTGGTAGTGTTTCTCCAGTGGTACTGAGTTGCTGGAGTGGGTTGTTGGCACAGTTGGACTCTTCAATAAGCTTGGCCTGTCTCTACTGGTAGGAGCCCCAGAACAGCCGAATGTTCTCCCAGCTTCATCCTACGCTGCGTGGACAGGCTCACGTTCTTGGCCAAATAATCAACAGCAGCTGAAGAGAGAGGTGATGGGGGGAAAGGAGAGTGAGAAAACAGAACAATATGAGGTGTATTGTTTAGTGGAAATGAGGCATTTGCCGTCAAAGGATGTGCGACCAACAGACCCTGGCAGGCTGGTCCTTAGAAATTGATGCTTGGATCAGGGGTTGTGCTCCTAGGGAAGGGTGCATCCTTCTAGATCAACCTGCCAGGGCTGTGGGTCCCTCACATCTCCCTCACATCTGGACATACTAAGGTTGAAGATCTACTTCTGCCATAGAAAATGGTGTTTCCAGGGGAGTTGCTCAACGATGAGCGTGAGAACAGCTCCAGCCTCACCCCACGCCGACAGCGATGCCACTGCAAATGAAATTTCAGCAGGACCTCACCGGCCAGGACAGGGCTTGAATGCAACTCAACCACCACGTGCTGACTCATCTCCCTGTCCTAAGGGAAACACTTCATCTCTGTCTTGGTGAGAAATGCATCCCAACTCACCAGCCTGCCCCACAGACGGTCTGGGGGTGGACGAGGAGCGGGGCAGGATGGTGACATTGCTCATTAGCTGAGCTTCAGTCAAAGTCTCTCCCTTTCCCTAGCTTTAATGTCTCAAATTAGATTAATAAGGAGCTGGCAGGAGATGTACAATCGGTGCCAATGAGTAAACAAATTTCAGCCATCAACGTCTTGTCAGATGCCTGCCCCAGAGGAGGTCCCTTCCAGACACAAATTCTTATTAGACTTGTCATATCTATTAGAATTCCTTTCACGCTTCTGCGTTCCATCACCGGCATCATTAACACAGCTCCGGCCTTTGGGAACTGCAAGGACCACATTAATCTGGCATCGCTGCTCCTCACCGGCTGGGACAGCACTGGCTGGTGTGTGGGGAGCAGACAGGGTACAATTTCTACTGGTGGCACTGGGTTGGACGCATAGTTGGGCTGGTGGCTCCTCTTGGACTGGGAGGAATCCCAGTAGGGGCAGCTTGTCTTGAGCACTGGGCTCTGCAAGTTGTGTGATGGTGCCTCCAACTTCATAGGGTTAGAGGCTGGGGAAGACTCTGCTCTATGACTTGTGTCCAAACCTTATCAGTTTGTTCCCCTGATATTTCAGGTGATCACATTAAATAGCAGCTTTGTGAAGCTTCGCGTGTGTGTTTGGCACCCGCGCTCTGGGTGAAGGGAATCACAGAATTGTTAAGGTTGGATAAGATCACCAAGATCATTAAGATCTGCTAAATATAAAATGCGCCGAGAAAGGCAAGAAAAAAACGTTGTTATATCGAGGTCATAACCATGCAAGACCTTGTTCAACAGGACTAATTACCAACAAAATGATTTCTTCACATAGAGATCACTATAAATGGAGCTCATTATAAGAAAAGAGAAGATTTATGTATTGCCTCTATCTAGCTGGACACACAAATATCCACACGTGTACGTGCAGATGTGGAGAGTTTGCTGCTTGATGTGAATCTCACCTCAGAATGGCCACAGCTGGATTTATCTTGGGTAACTCTACCAACCATGCAAGACTTGCTGTTGGCAGCTTGAATGGGAAAACATTCCTGCTCCAAACTGAGCCCTGCGGCTCCTAAACCGAATGGACGTCCAACAGAAAAGAGGGAGAGAAATCAGGAAAGGCAATAAAACAGCATAGATAGGGCTGGGTGGGCAGCTCTTCAAGGAGAGGCCCAAGTGAAAATTCCTGCAGCAAACCAAGACAAACCCTTCTTTCTCTTTCCCTCTCCTTTGCTGGTCACTCTCCTTTCAAAAACGTAGCTCGTCCTCCTTATTTTATTTTTTACACACATGGGTGTGACTAACGTCTTGCCTAAGGGAATCTTTATTGGAAATACATGGTATTGGAATTTGTTTAAGATTTTTATCAATAGCACGTGTGTCCAGCCTCACATCCAGAAGCGAGGGGAAGGTCAAGGGGTCACAGATCAAACTCCCGAAAAACAAAAAAAGGAGGGGTGGGGGGAAGCTGCTATTGATCCCGTCTGCCGCCACAGCCGGTTCTCATTTAGCTGGAGAAGTTAAAGACATTAAAGGGCTGTGACGGAGAGGGGAATAAAAAGCCACAGCCAAATGGAAGGAAAGGTCACTGAGGACAAGCTATGGGCAAGCAGGAGCGCTCCCGGAGGAAGAGGATGCACCTTTAACCCTCTGCAGATCACCCTCTCACAACACCACACTCATTATTAGTTTAACACCAGCAGGTGAGCCCTTTGGCAGGGTTTCTGGAGGAGAAACAGACCTTCCCTGGGTCGCAGTGCCTTCCAGGTCTGAGCTGTGGGTTGAGGATTGCAATTCCAGCCTCGCTTTGGCTGTAGTAGGATCGCAGCCTGGTTGGTTGGTAGACATTGGTTTTATGGCTTTTGTAGGGAAAGCTGAGCATGGAACCATCCCTTACCCTACACAGGGCAGGGGAAGGACAAACATACATAGTTCTGCATCACTAAGGAATGGTATTAAAATCCCCTTGGCTGAGCAGGGTGAACATGCTGTTGGGCTTTTGGAGAAGTAAAAACTGGAGAAGAAGAAGGAAAGGGTTGGAACCAAATGATCTTTTAGGTCCCTGCCAATCTGTGCCATTCTATCACTCTAAGTTCTTGTTCTTTTTATTTTCTAGCAGAAATGTTTTACCTAAAATACATTATTTGGGACTTTGGGACTGCAAGGATGATGGGAGCCATCCCTATATGAAACAATCTCCATCTATCAGGCTCCATTTTTCTCTCTTAGTGGAGAGACTTCTTTCCAATTCCACCCCAATCCCTTCCATGACAACACCCACATATTCTTAGATCCCTCCCTCTCCTCTCCTGTTCCCAGTGCAGGGGCCACCCAGCACTTACTTTGTCCATACTGCCCATACTGGTAGCCAGCCACTGGGTCCACGCTGTAACTGGTGGTGCTGTAGGTGGGAGGACAGTAGGACTGCGAGGTCGGGAGGCTGTCCACGGATTTGATGGAGTCACTCCGCTGGCTGCAGCTGGCAGAGATGGAGTTGGTGGTGTCCAGGCCACCGTGAAGGGGAGAGATGGAGAAATCAGCCTGGGGCTGCGGAGGAACCCCGCTGGGGTTGCTCAGGATGCTCATCACCTGGGGAAACACAGGAGGCAATGTGTCATCAGGGATAGGAGAGAGACAGTCTACCAGGATGGAGAATGAAGGCTGCTTCCACCTGGTAAAAACAGACCTCACTTTTGGCTCCCCTGTGCCTAAGGCTTTATTTCATAGAACTGTTGAATCATTAAGGTTGGAAAAGACAGCAAAGATCACCGTGTCCAACCATCATCCCATCACCCATGCCCACTAAACCATGTCCTTCATACACATCCAACCCAACACTTTCATGTTTTTGTTGCCCTCTTTTTTAATGTTTTAATAAAAATATATTTATAAAAAGAGGTTTTGTTACTTCCTTGCCTTAACTATATTAGATATTTTATATGCTGCCCAAACCCATTCCTCTTCACCCACTGCAGCCCAGGCAAATGTTGGATGCCCATAACGTTTATTTGAAAGACCTTCCTAGGGGATAACGGAGAGGTTCCTTCCTGGCACACTCAGCCTTCAGTTGCTCTTTGCTGCCCTGCCAACAATGTCATTGAACACCAGAGAAAGGAATAAACCAAGGAAAGCACAAGGGATGCACAAGTCAAGACCCACAGTTTCCGACAGGGACTCTGACAGCAGCTACTGCCATTGGAAGTCTGCATGGGGGTTGTTAACGGAGGTCCCCAACTGTTCTGGTTTTGATGCATTCTGCTTTAGGGACAGAAATGTCAAAGTTCTCTTCACCCTGAAATGTCCACGAGTTCAAAGATGACAGGTCACTGCAGCACAGTGCTTGGTTTTAGAACGTAATTCAATTTGCACACAAGCTATCTTCCTGCTTTGAGACCTGAAACAGATGCATTTACGCTGTTGGGTTTTTTTTTTTGCTGTGTTTTGTTTCTTTTTTTTTTTTCCCACCAAAATGCCAGATTTGTTCCTGTGGGTGAGCGTGGGGCAAGCCACTGCCTACAGGCCTCCATCCTGATATACTGCCTTAATGCAATTGCCTCCTGCAATCAGCAAAGTGACCCCTGGGTGCCTGGTTAAGGGTGTGAGGGGTTTGTGGGACCGGCGGTGCTGAATTTGTGCTCAGTGGGGGAGGTGAGGGGACAACCCGTCACCTCGGGGGGCCACGGCAGCTCTGGGATGGCTGAAAATCTCCGACTTTAGCATAACCTTATTGACATCAATTAAAGTGGCAAATTGGAAATATTTGGAGCCTGGCAAGTGGTAAAATGAACCCTTTATCCCCCGCCAGCGGCCTGGTGAGCTATTGTGCAGAGCATCCATTCTCTGGAAGGACACAAGAGTTGTTGTATAGAGCGCCGGGTCCCCTTCCTCTTCGTCTCTGTCCCCTCCTCCCTCACCTTCCTGCTGGACTGGGGCTTAGGGGATGCACTGCCCTTTGCTTTCTAAAGCTTCTCCTCCCCCCGGAAGGGCCCTGCAAAGCCGCTTTGCCTTGATGGGATCCCACCTCCCGACTCTGCCGGCATGAGATCCTTCCCAGATTTGTCTTGGGGGGGAAATTTTGGAGCAGGGCTGGCTGGGCCCCTGCGGAGGGGGAGTTAAAAAGCCTGGAAAATCAGTCTAACCCTGAGCACTGAGACAGGGATGGAGGAGCAAGCTTCGGACGAGCAGCGCTGAGCTCACTTACCCTGCCCTCCTTTGAGTTTTCCAGCCTTCACCGAGCTTAGGTTTGCTGCTGGTCCACACAAGATAAAAAGCAATGGAGCTGTTTCATCCATCGGAGCCTAAACCCCTTCCAGCCCTCCAGGCACATCACCTCAATGAAGCTATGAGATGAAGTTTTTTAGCCACAACCACTTGCCCGTGGAACCCCCTGCCCCATGACAGCAGGGGGATGAAGAGAGGAAATTGCATTTAAATATGCAAGACAGAGTGGATTAATACGAGAGCAGAGCTGTGAGGGTGGATGTAAGGCAAACCTCTCTGCCTCAAGGCTGATGCAACAGGGAAATCATGGGAGTGCTGCCCCAACGTTGGTTTTCCAGCTGCAAAGTTGTTTGTAACCTTCCACTAAAGCTGGGTCACGAACTTTGATCTGGCTCAGCCACGAATCCCCCTCCTCTGCCCCTCGGTCCCTGCAGATATCCCTCCTAGCACCAGGGCTGGAGGTGTCACAGCCTGCCCCAATGGATATCTGGGATGCTCACCTCTACAGCAGCCACAAAACGCTCCTGCCTTTCATCTGAGAACCGAACCAGATGTTTAAAACAATAAACATCCTCCCTGCACGCAGATATGTGAATTCTGTGCTATTTTCACCAAGCTCCAGCTCAGGCAGCACCAAGCAGGGCTGTTTTGCTGCTCTCTTTCCGAGGTGTAGAGCTACAGATCTGCTGCATGCACTGCAAACCTCTGCAGGTGCAGAGAGAAATCATGTGCTAGGAAACAATGTGCAACTGGAACTACTCAGAGATCGGAGGGTTTGCTGGTGCTCTCCCTCCTGGCCATCTCCACCATAAGAGTCAGCTGCTTTATATTACTCAGGAAAAATAAAAGGGTCTTAAAGCAAGTAGAAGTCATATTAACACTTCCGCTAAGGCCCTTTTAAAAAGAAAGGGGGATGTAAAGCCGTGTTGGTAAATGAAACCCAGATTCACACTCTTCACGCTCACAGGAGCTGAGACGGGAGAAGACACTTGCAGAAATCCTACTAAAGACAGTAATTGGCTTTAATCAGTCAGAATCAGGGTTGATTTCTAATCCTGGCTCTGCTACTGACTCTGAAGGGTTCGTGCAAGTCACTTAAGCTGGGACTCAGCTAACCTGAGCCATGCGATGCTGTTTCTGGTCTGTGCTAATCCTCCAGAATCCACCTACAGAGAGAGTGACGCTTCTGAAGGACCATTCCTCCCATCCTCAGACCCCTTTCTGAAAAAAAAGATGGTCAGAATTTCCCTCTGGAAATGCGTAGCGAGATGTAAGGATGCCAATATTACACCAGGATGGTGAACGGTCCCCAAAGCACTGCCAACCATGGGAACATCTGTCTTTTTGCCTTTTCCAGATATGCAGTGAGCATCTTGGGACCCTGTTTGCATCCAATCCCACCCCAGGACATGAAGATGTTGGGAATAACAAGAGCAACGTGGAGATTTCTGCTCCATCTCTGCTCTGCAGCCCCCTAGCATGGATAACCCTCAGCCAACTCTATCTGACTTCTTGTTTCAGTTGGATAAACTCATTTTCCAGGCAACTTTTGAACTTAGGAAGGTGTGGGGGCATCTGGAGAAATCCCCTCCTCAAGAATGCCACGTCCTTCTCCCCTGTTCTTTCTGACCTTGCTTTCTTATAATTTATTACTTCTTGGTGCATTATCATCACTAACTAAAAATCAATACCCACTTCACATCTGTAAGGTTTTATCTGGAGGGAAATCTGCTCCCTGTCCATCACGGTGACTGACAGCCTTCCCTTTCCCCTCCCTCTCACCGGCTGCCTCTCTCCCCTTCCCCATCTCCTTTACCTCTGCTGCTGTCCCAAATCAGTCACAGGCATTGCGTGGGCTTGCACTTTAGGCTCAGTCAATAACAGCCCCGGTGCTAGGAGCCTTCGGCCTCTCTCCTACCCTTTCCAGAGGTCATTTGTCATAGGGGAAAAGTGGTAGGGGGTCTCGGTGTGTTGGGGAGCCCCCAAGGTTAGCACACAAAGACCCTCCTGGATGAAAGAGCCAGCCTCCTGCTGCTGCTGCCCTCCCCACCCTCATCTCCCCCTGTTCCCCAACCCCCCCCCGGGACGTTTCATCACTCTCTCCCATACTTTAAAAGAAGGGGAGTTAAAAAAATGTAATTAATTCCCTCCATTTCTGAGCTGGCCCTCAGGGCCTCTGGCCGTGGAAACTGTAGCAGGGGAAATGTGCACCCTTTATGATAAACGAATGCGGCTTTGGGAAGGGAAGAGCAATTAGGGCCTTCAATCTGTGCAATCAGGCCTTCAGATTTTAGGGTTGGAGGCTGGGGGGGTGGTTGTGTGTGCTGGGGGGGCAGGAGGGGCTCAAGGGGCAAACAACGATAGGGAGAGATGCTGTTCTGATGGAGAAGGGCACACACACATCAGGGAAGGGACAATGGGGAAGTTTGATGACAAACCCTTGCCCTGTAGACGTGGTTGGGACACGGGACAAAGCAAGGCAGCCCAATGGTGACATCAGACCCTGAAACACCAGGGAGTGGATGTCCACCATACGCAGGGTGTGAATAGCCCAAGACAACGGGGAGGATGCGGAGATGTTTTGGGGGGATTGCATCCCAAAATTCCAAAAGGATGGGAAGGTGAGAGCCTGCAAGCACCATTTTCCAGAGTGGCTCCCAGTGCTGTTCGTCTCTGTTTTTGGGCATCCGATCTGACAAAGCGTAAAGCGTCCAAAATCAGAGGCTGCCTTAGAAAAATGCTGCATTTAGAAACTGCTGAGTCTGGCTAAGTTGTGAATAAAGGGAAGACGTAATCATCTGCAACTAGCTGAAGGGTGTTAACTCCAAAGGAGCTGCCAGATGGTCCCAAAGGAATGCAGACTGAAGAGGGAAAAGCTCATGGCAGTGAGCAGAATTTCTGAAGCTGTGGTGTTGTTTTCCTAGGAATGGGTAGAAAACCTCAATTTTGGGAAAGGCTGGAAGCACGATTGGTTTGAATATTTAATACTAATCAGACAAAAGCCCTACGAACTTCTGCTGAGAAGAATGTGTTTGTAGGTTCTACAGTGTCAACGTTTACACCAGTCAGTGGGAAATGAATTTCTGAATATCTGATAGCCATGCTGGGCAAGGCTATGGATCTCTTGGCTTTCCTGCCTACAAGGAGCAGACAGCTGGTGTGCTGTGAGTTCCCCTATGAGGTTTTCACCACTGGGTTGGTCTCCACTATTTGCAGTTGATCCATCTTTTGCTTTGGGCAGGTGATGCTCTGTCCTCCTCTAAGCTACTTGGTGGGGACCCAGCTTCAACTTTTCCACCTTTCCCTGGCAAGCCTTTTCAGCTAATCTTTTCCTTCCCTCTTGCAGAAGGCAACCTTTCCTCACACTG